AGTAATTGTTCAAGGTTCGCTTATGAGTGAGAACATGCAATACTCAGTTCTTTGTTTCTGTGATAAATCACTCAGTACTATAGACTCTATTCTAAGTCTATCCAAGTTGCTGTGAAGTTCATAATTTTGTCCTTCTTTATGACTGAGTGATATTCCATCATGTATATGTACCACATTTTTTAAATCCACGATGACCTAATTTCAATTTTGTGCATGTCAAGCTGGGATCATAAAATTCCTGACGAAAAGAAAGAAGTGAAAAAGTAATTAGTAGCTGTCTGTTGACTTGATTAGATGCTTTGAGGACAGAAAATGTACCATTTACTATGATGTCCACAGCAGAGTGACACTGAGTTGTATTGAGTAGATGTCTAGTGAATGACAGATAAAATACTAGCTAAGTGAAGCAATGAGTCTGTTTGGCAAATATGCCTTCCCATTTGAGTATATTCTGGGAAAATTAGAACTAAAGTTAGTGATTTGGAGTTTCAACCCTACAGGTAGGGAAATCAGACTAAAGAAATGTTTTAAAAAGGAAAAAAAAAACCAAAACCTCCTGCTGTCATTATTTGGGACCAGAGCCCATTTAAGTCCTTTGGATTTGTCGTACTCAAAGCATGGTCTGCAGGCCAGCACTGCTGTGTAGTGAGTGTGAGTGTTTAGAAACCTTTATAACAGTTGGACTAAGTAATTTTATGTCTTTTCTTAAACCTAATAATGAAAAACTCGGGCTTGTATCTTATATGTCTCTATTTTTAATACATTTTTTCCAGCAATTAATTTGTGTTGAATTTACAATTATCAGTCTTGATGGACTGGAAAAATAACAGCAAAACTGTTTCTTTGTCACCGATCATTTGAAAGACACTGCTTTAGCGGATTCAGGTTTTGAAAACACTATACTATTCTCCATACTATTCACAATCAAAGATTAGGGGAAAAAAAAACCTGTAAATTTTAAAATGTATCTTTTTTTTAATGACACAAAAATTCTTTCTAGATGTTTTACTCTCTCTCTCTGTCTCTCTGGACCTCAAGTGCGTTCTTGTCCACCTCTTGGCTAATCTAACCCCACAAGGAGATCCCCCAAAAGACAGGAACAGAACAGTAAGCACTTTGCTGTTTCTGACTGACTATAGCATCTTGGTTAGCCATGAGCAGTCCAGAATAAATCTAGTCTACTGGCTACCTGCTCTCCCTGAAATCGAGAGGGGCTTTCTCCTCCTGTAGGCACCCATATCCAGGGTACATTGGGGTTATTTCTGGATAACGAATCTCTATTCTCAACATGGTTGACTAGTGACTCTCATATAGAAGGGAATAGACAAGGGCAGGGAAAGAAAATTTAACGTGCAGTTATCAGCTTTTTGTAATTTTCAGCTCAGCACTGGTTAGTATGAACTGGAGATTCTTTGGATTGCTCTGTCAGATGGGATAAATCTTTTTGCTTGCAAAATGAGCAGTGGGCTTAAATGAACATCAGCAGTTTCAGAGCAGTGCACCCAATTCCACACTTCTGACTCTGTTAGAGCTCCCATTGATTTTAATGATGATGTTCAAAGATCCAGTCTGTCAAACCTAGATGAGAACTGGCCTCATAAAATGCATCTGAACCTGGTGGATTTTTATCAGTAGGTATGATAACGCCATCACCTTCGGGGAAAATATTTGTAATTGGCTTAACTCTTGCTGTTTTTGATTAAGCATCTCTTCTGAAATAAGATGATTTTGTGTGGTCTACCTAGTAATTCTGTCATCACACGGAAGGTTAGCTGACTAGAGAACAAAAGTAAGTTTGAGTTTTTTTAAATTCTAGCTTTCCTTGCAAAAAACAGTAAACTGTACAATTGTATTTAAGTATTCAAGAATGACCTACCAAATACAGTGTTTTGAGCTCATTGTGTAATTTGCTTGTACTAATGCCACAGCTTGCTTTCAGAGTATTTCCTTGGCAGTGTTGGGGGTGACTCTATTTCTTACAGAGCCACGTGGCATTTCAGTGTAAAATAAGGCCATTGAACTTAAACATCTGTAAGGTATCTTTTAGTTTTGAGCATATGAAAATCCTGTTTGAAGTTTTACCGAGTTACCATTAGTTAATAAAAAATGTGCTAGGTGCTGTGGAGTATATACATGAAGGAAGTTTCTTTTTGTTTTCTTTTTGGTTTTTCTTTTGATACAAGGTCTCACTCTGTCATCTAGGCTGGAGTCCAGTGGTGTGATCATGGATCACTGCAGCCTCTAGCTCCTGGATTCAAGTGATTCTCCCACCTCAGCTTCCTGAGTAGCTGGGATTACGGACATGCACCACCAAAATGTATTTATCTTATTTTTTTGTATAGATAGCATGATCTTGTTATGTTGCCCAGGCTGGTCTTGAACTCCTTGCCTCAAAGGAGTCTTGCACCTCGGCCTCCCCTAGTGCTGAGGTTACAGACATGAGCCACTGTACCTGGCCAGAAACAAAATATTTTGATGAGTACATTCTTATGTGCCAAATAGTTATGTCAAGATGAAAATGCAGCACTTTATGCTTTTATCTTTGAGCAAATTCAGATGCCTTAGAGATCCCCAGTGTTTTATCTGTTCTCAAGAGTCACCGAATTCTGCAGGGTCTGGGATGAGGTGAAAAATGGGTTAATATAGAGTTCCTTAAAACTAATGGTTAAAAATAAAACACTTTTCTAGAAAATATATATAAGCAGCATCCCCCACCAATTTAAAAATGATATAAAAGAATGTACAACATTGTTAGTACTTAAAGGAATTAGATGACAAACATGTTTTACTTTCTAGACAATTCTTTTTTTTTAACAATACAAAGATTGTTTTTATTTTTTAACTTTTTTTGCTAATGTAAGAACAGAACTATCACAGCAGCTCAGTTCTATAACCCATCCAGCCCAAGACTGTTCTGGTGGTAGACTAAGAGTAGACAAAAGGTCTTTCTCCCTCTTCTCAAAACCCAAGGACATCTTCCAAAGGGAACCAACAAGTACCTGTCATCCGAGAATTTAAGGGCTTCTTGAACCTTCTATATTTTCCACCAATATTATCACCTTCTGAGGTTATGAATTCCGGTTCTACTATGAAACAGGTAAAGCTTCCTGTCGCATTTTAAGAAGTATGGTTTGAGAAGGGAATTGGGGAACATGACTCTAGAGACTTCATCACTTCTCCCATTAGCCTGTCCCATCAAGGTGTACAACAATCAATGTTCTCACACTTGCCCATCTCTAGTTTTGGACTTCTTCAGGGTTTATAGACCAAGCCTCAGGAAGTCATCCAATGAAAGCACATTAAAATTTATCACAAAGGCAGATCAACTTACTAGTTATTCTTTGGCCCCAGCACACACTGGGCCAGCATTTTTCAGGAGCAGCCCTATCAGCACTGTCTAGGCTGTTTTCCTAAGCCATGAATGGGTTGTTTAGGGCCTTCTATCTGTCCTGATTCCTAAAAGCTTCACATAACTCATACAGTCTTACTGTCCTCTGTTTTTTTGGTATGTTATGATCCTACCTGTAAAGCTATCCAACGACTTTTGCACTCAAGTGTTGTGAAGAGGTAAGGAGAGACTCAGAGCTCTGTCCTCAGTGACTACTTCTCCAGAAGCTGCCACCTGTAGGGCTCAGGCTGGTACCAAAGCTCTGAATAATAGAGTCACTGCCAATAATTTTCCTACTTCTAGGCAGGAAGACAAAAGTTTTCATGGAGCAGAAATAAAAACACTGAAGCATGGCCTTTGTCGTCCTGATGCCCGAAGCTTCCTGGGATAGCTCAGATTCTATTGCCTAAGCTTGTTGTCCATACTTCACCTCCAGGCACTGGAAACAGGACTTTGAGGGTTTCTTCCCTCTGACTTGGCAAACTCTTCTTCTCATCTCCAACGGAATCACCAGTAGTTCCTTGGGTGCCAGATGCAGAGTCCAAGCCAAAACTGTTTTCACCACAGGACTTATGGGCACATCCTTTAAGCCACTTCTTTTGCTGTTCCATTCCTCTTCTTCAGACTTCCTGGACCTGAAGGCCCTTGCGACACAAGAACTACCCAAAGCATGGCAAAAAAGAGAGAGGGGCTAGCTTACTCCTCCTGGCAACCACTGCTCCCCATTCCTAGAGTAAACCAAAGTTGCTGCAAGATGACGGCTCAGTTCTCTTTGTCTTCATTATGAAACAAAAAATAGGAATTCCCAGGTCTCGGCAGGCTATTCAGTATCCGATGTGGTTTCTAAGGGGGAGCTACATGGGGAGGACTCTCCCATGGCTGCTCAGTGAAGGCAACAGTGATGCCCAAAACAAGTTCTTCTGCCCTAAACCAGACCAGTCAGCAGACCAAACTGACCCCAGTCCTTGGAAAAGGCTCTCAATTCCAACTTCTGCAGCCCCAGACCATGTGGATGTCTGCTACCAACAGGGCAGAAAGCACAGCACAGACCTCCAAAAGGAAACTCCTTCATTAAATGCAGCAGGCAGTCCAACACCAACAGCTTAAGCAGGGGGGAAAGAAATGCCTCTGATTGAAGAATTCAGCTCTGCTGAGGAGGCTGGGGATCCCAGGAGTCAGATTTGCAGATCCTGAGGATGGTGCTTCCCTTGCTGGTGCCATGTCACCTAACCTAATGGTTTCTCTAAGACCCAATGGCCCAACCCTGAAGAAAGTTGGTAGAGAGGCAAAAATGATGTGTCTTTTTTTTTTTTTTTTTTTTGAGTTGGAGTCTCACTCTGTCGCCCAGACTGGAGTGCAGTGGCCACTCCTGGCCAGTGCAGCCTCGACCTGCTGGGCTCCAGTGATCCTTCCGCCTCAGCCTTCCAAGTAGCTGGAACTACAGGCATGCACTACCATATCTGGCTAATTTTTTGATTTATTGTAGAGATGAGGTCTCATCAAGTTGCCCAGGAGGGTCTCGAACCCACGGGCTCAGGCAATCCACTTACCTCAGCCTCCCAAAGCATTGGATTACAGGTTGAGCCACCAAGCCTGGCTAATGATGTGTCTTAAAGAGGTCTTCAGACACATGGACAGCTCAGCAAGACCACGCTTATGCCCAGAGCCCACCATGAAGCAGCCATCACCAACCTGGTAAGGAGGACATAGCACATGGCATCTTCAGGGTGCTGGACGCAGGCGCTGTGAGCTGGAAGGCAGCAACTGGGAGGTGGGCTCCTCAGACGGGGCTGCTCCTGAGCCCAGGGGGCTCAGTGTGGTGATTCTGCTGGGTTGGCCACAAAGTGTCAGAGTAATGGTGATAGGGACCTTCAGGCCTGATGCTTGGTTAGAGATCTGTGCCATGCCAGGGAGGTTGTTTGCCAACTTAGCGAGGCCCCCATTGGTCAGCAGCTGGTGGATGGCTGTGGGCTTCCCACCAGGAGTGGCACCCAAGGAGGAGAGAGTGGTGGCCACAGGAATGGTACGGACAGTGGTGCTGGTGTCCGTGATGATGGCTCCCAGGCTTTGCATGGAGGTGGGCAACTTCACACTGGTGGCCTGTGGGACTGGTCCTGGGGAGGGATTTGCTGATATCCTGTAAGCTGAAGCTGAGGCCTTGGAGGAGGCTACTGGCTGATGTGGCCCCTGGGAGGGAGCTGCCAGGAGAGGTGGCCACCAAGCGGCTCTGGAGTATGTGCAAGGCACTGGGCACAGTGCTGCTGGAGACCACTGAGAGAGTTGGGCTGGCTGAGACTCCACCTTCAGAAGTGCTTGACTTGGCTGTGAGAAGTCCTGTGAGCTCCTTGGCCCCTGCTGAAGCCTGCCCCAATGTCATGGTGATGGACTTCCCACTCGTAGCTTCTGGAGCTCCTCCTTGGGAAGGAGCACAAGGCCCTCCAGCTGCGTCTCCTTGGGAGATAAGGGACACCTTGATCTTTGGTTGCTTGGAGGTCTTACTGCCAGGAAGAGGACTCGAGGGATGGTGCCGCTTCAACTGGACCCTAAGGTCCTCTTTCTCTGCTTCCTCTGTTGGTTCTGATGAAATAGGAACGAAGAGACAGGAGGAGGTGCCAGGAGGAAGAGCTTTCCTCACCAGCATATTTCAGAAAAGTAGCAAACTGTGCTTGGGCTTGTTTGTGGGTCAGCACAGCTTCTGTCCACTGCACATGTCTCTTTAGCAGCTGAGAGCTCCCAATCTGACTGAATTTCTGGGTAGAGGTCACTGTGGTCACTTTGGTCTGAGGACTGGATGTGGGGCTGCTGGACACACTAGAGAGGCCTTCCGAGTCCGAGGGTGAGGCGGGTAGCTTGGCGGCTGGGGAGGCAGGTCGACTGCACTGTTCAGGTACTTCAAAGGTCAGGTCTCCGCGGGCTGTGTCACGAGGTTTCTTCTTCTCAGCATCCTGATCCCGAGGGTCAGAGCCCACGAGACCCTCAGTGCGAGTGAGCACTCTGGTCAGAAAGTCCACAATCTCATCCTGAATACATCTGTCCACCATGCTCTGAGTTAATCCTTCTGATTTCTTATTTGCTTTGCTTATTCTGAGATTATCATCAGCTCCCCCAACCACCACCAAGCTGTTCTCAACCCGAATCTTCTCCCAGAAGTCCTCCATGGCTTCAGGGTGACACTGTAGGGAATTCTGACCAATGACAAAGAGGACTGGAGTCTTCATATCCAAGAGGGGATCATCCACATCCCCTCTGGGGCCATCCATGTTGAGCAGAGGAAACCCAAGGCAGACAACAGCAGTGATATACTCCATCACTGAAACGTGACAGGCCACCAAAACTCCTGTGTTCCAGCCAATGAAGATAATGGATTTGTGTGGGAAATGGCTGTGAATCTCCAGGACTTTGCTTCTCACTGCCCCCGTCGTATGCTCAAGACACTGCAGAACTCCTACCCCATTGCCATTGTTCAGCAGATGGGTGGCTATGGGAATGACCTTGCCTAAGCAGGAGAGCTGAGACTGCCAGAAGCGATGGTGGCATGAGGGAGAAACATAGAGCTGGAGGGGCCAGAGGAAGCCATGAGAATCAGAGGAGAACTAGGGAGTTTGCTTGGTTTGTTATGAGAAAGCACTCCCACAGCAAGGTCCCACAGCCTCTTCAGTAAGAGAGACAAGGCCTCAGCTCCTGCAGCTCCAGTCTTTGTGTTGGATGACACAAGCATCCAGTCAGTCAAGGTTGGGATCTTCCCTTTCAGTGTCTGCAAAGCATCTAGATAGGCTGCCAGCATAGGCAGACTCAAGGTCTCCATGAGGGTGGTGTGCAGCCACTGGATCAGCTTGGTGTCCCCACTCACACTTGCCAGAGCCTGCCACACTCTCCTTGCACACTTGTCCACGGCAACATGGCCCAGCACTGGCTCATGACAAGCCTGAAGGATGTAAGTGGAAGTGATAAAACATGAGGACCACCCCTTCATTGACCAAGCGGGCAAGCCGGTCAGATTGCAGGGCTGTGAGGATCTTGTTGAATAGCTTGTTCTGGGCCATTGTCCAACCAGTCCTGTTGACATGCTCCTCCCGGTCCTCTGGTGGGGGAGGGGCATCTGCATCCGTCCTGGCAAAGATGACTTGCCATTCACACTCATTCATTGTGCTGCATGCCTTCTGATTGTCATAGAGCGGCACAGGGGTTGATGTGACTGTCTCTACGTCTATCCGATTCACTACAATGTAAGCTGGCAAAAAATATAATTGGGCCTAAGAAGGGTCTAGATTATGTGACAGTTATGGTACTTTCATGCTGCCTCCGGGGAGTGACAAAAAGCATGCGGGTGGGGCAGGCACTACTGGCATCTGGATGGGCACTCCATGGCTTGGCATAGCTATGATCCAGGAAAACCAGGTCCAGTTCCCTTTCGTGCACTGAAAGCTGGAAGAGCAGCGAGGTGCCCATGCGCCGAGCTGAAGTCTGGAAATCCCTCTCCCCACACCGGTGGGCCATGTCAGAGGAGGGGCAGCAAGTCAGAGCATGGGTATCTGCATGCTCGTACCCGTGGTCATCGAGCCGCGTGCTGGGCCCGGGCCGACCCCTGTGCGCATGCACATTACCGCCTCCACGCGCGGCGCTCCGGTCACTGACAATTCTATCAGTTAACATTAGGCTAGATAATGCTGAGGTGCCAGGTAACCCCTGAATTTTGAAGGCGTAGCATAACAAAAAATTTTCTTAGGTTACAGTCCTCCACAGGCCTGGAAAACTCTTTGGAGCAACTATTTTCTGTGCTACAACTTAAAGAATCCATCATCTTGTAGAAGCATCATTTGGAAGATGCTTAGACGGTGTGACAGGGGAAAGAGAGAGCAGACAGAGTTGCATGACAGATCAGACATGCTTCTACCTGGAATGAAAAAGTCATTTCTACTTATTGTCCAAAGCAGGTCATCTGGCTATGGTTAATTTCAAGAAGATGGAGAAGTGTAATCCTCTCTGTACGTGGAAAGAGAGAGAATTGAAAATATTAGTGAGCTGGGTGGGGTGGTGGTAGTTCCCACCTATAATCCTAGAGCTTTGGGAGCCCTAGGCAGGAGAATCCATTGAAGCCAAGAGCTCAAGACCAGCCTGGGCAGCATACTGAGACTCCATTTACACACACACACACACACACACACACACACACACACACACACACTAGCTGGGCATGGTGGCATGCACCTGTAGTCCCAGCTACAAGGGAGACTGAAATGGGAGGATTGCCTGAGACCGGAAGTTCGAAATGTAGTGAGCTATGATCACACCACTGCTCTCCAGCTTAGGTGACAGAGTGGGATTCCTTTTCTAAATAAAATAAATATAAAAATAAAAAAGGAAGAAGATATTGGTGAGAAGTAATATTTATAATTATCAAATATTAAAAAGGCTGGTAGAGTTGTGAGGCAATGTTAGAGACCAGCTCCAACAAAAGGGTTAGGGCCTGAGGCGAGAGAATCAGAGGTGGCGAAGGAAGAAGACATAAGTCAACTTTCTGGGTTGAGTTTGGGACTCTTCTAAAGTTTATTCAAGTTTTACATGTTTATATAAGGCATTTTTAACCCTCAACCCCCTCACACATATGCCCACAAATGCTTACATTATGTTTTTTTTCACAATCAAATGCTTTATAATGGTTTATTTGTTCCTCCCTATTTTTTTTTTCCATTATGTTAAAACCAACAGAGAGGAATGAAACAACTTTTGTTAAAAATTATTAACTGTAACCTTTTAACCCTTATCCCTTTTATATCATATTTTTAACAATTTTTACATGTAACAGCAGCAATATATTGGCATTTTTATAACTAACTTTATTATTTTTAAATTATTTTTTATGAACTTTTATTTGTATCTGTTTTTATTTTTATTTTGTTTATATAAATCATGATTTAATAATATTTAACAATCTTTATATAAATTATACTTGACTATTCATATTTTATATTTATTTTTTATTTAATTATTTTTTATCTAATTATTTTTAGTCATCTTCCTATTTTTATCTACTTAACTTTTTTTGTTATTATACTTATATTACTAAATCGTTTTACCCTTATAAACTTATATCTACTGTCTATATTTTTTAAAATTATGTTTAAAAACAGCTGCCCTCAGAATTGACTTAAGTCTCACAAACTTTTTTTTTTATCTTATCCGTCTAAGGTGTTATTTTAGTATAGGGTCTGTTAACCTTAAAAATAAAAAATAAAAAATTTCTTTTATTTTTTTATACACAATGGTTTTGTTTTTTATAGAGACAAAGATAACTAAACGTTTTCTAACGTCTCTAATAGCTATGCTTTTGCTATGTTTCTTTTTCATGTCTCAAGCTTCAGTTTTACCAATACACCATCCTCGCTTATTAGTTATTGCTTCATCAAAAAGGGATACTTTCTGTCTTATGTACACACTCCTAAAAATCAAAGGGGCCCATCAATGGGATCCATGGGGCTTTGCCTTCGGCATGGCTGCTTTAGCTGGGGCCTTACTCCCAGCCAGCGTTTTTCCCATTTTCATGTAACCCTTATTTTGCCTTCTGTTAGGAGTTGCGGCTCCCGACAAGGCAATAAATTCTTTGTACACTGATATTGATTAGCTCAATTTTACAGGGGTTATTTAAAACAATTAATAAAATATACAAACTTTGGACCTAGCAATTTCAACTATATGACTGCAGCTAAGCTTTCTTGGGTTCTTACTCTATACCATACATTGTATTGAGATATTTTACTCACTATATTATATTTAGTGCTCACTTTTGGGAATTTATCCTAAGGAAATATATGGATACATGTGTAAAAGTTCCACAGATTTTTAAAAAAATAGAAGTAACCTATTTATTCACCAAAAAGGGGCTCATTAAATAACATATGCATACAATAAGTTTGATTACCTGGATCTGTGATCTTGTTAATGATCTATTATCAAGTAGACGAAAGTATTAAACAAGGAAGAAAGTATAATATTGTCTTATTCTAATACACACACACACACACACACACACACACACACACACACACACGAAGGGGACCCCAAAAAACCTAGAATTATTTTTTGGAGGGCAGATACCTTGCAGTATAGGCTTCCCTTGCTAGGTAAGTGGTCTAGGAACCCATCAGAATCACCATACCAGCTAACATTATTATGCGAGGCCACAGTTGGCCTCAGTTAATTTTTTTTTTTTTTGGAGATTCTTTCAATGTGTTTGCCCATTTCATGTTGGGTGATTAACATGAACAACCTGCTCACACTGTGCTGAGTGTTCAGCAGTTTTTGACCAAAAATGGCATGACCCCTGTACCCCACCCTCCCCATTCACCCATTTTCTCCTCGAGTGACTTTTTTTGTTTCCCCAGGTGGAAAAATTCCTCAAAGGGAAGCATTTTGCTGATGCAAATAAGTGAAACAAAAAATGGCAGAAGCACTAAAAAAGGCATCAAAATTGATGAGTTCAAAAATTGTCTTAAGCAGTGAAAAAAGCATACTGATAGATGTAGTGCATCAAATGAAAAGTACTTTGAAGGTGGTTGATTATGTTTAAACATGTAAGAATAAATACACAATTTTTTCTTTTAATTTTTTTTATTTTAAAGATGTGGGGTACAATTCAGGTTCAGGTATACAAATGTTTATTATGTATGTACCCTTGTGGATGAGGTGTATCCCTCCCCCCCAAGGCAGATTCCCACTACTGCCAATCCTGTTTCCCCGCTCCCCTTCTGGCAGTTTCCCACTACTGCCTATCCTTTTCTTATAGTATTATGATAATTGTTTAAGTTCTGCTTATGAGTGAGAACATGTGATACCCAGTTCTTTGTTTCTGTGAAAGATCACTCAGTATTATAGACTCTAAGTCCATCCAAGCTGTTCATGATTTTGTTCTTCATTATGGCTGCATAATATTCCATCGTGTATATGTATCACATTTTAAAAAATCCAGTCCTCTTTTAATGGGCAGCATGGTTGGTTCCATGTTCTTGCTAGTGTGAACAATGCTGCCATACGCATATGTGTGCAGGTATCTTTTTTCATAGAGTGCTTTGAGTTCTTCTGAGTAGATTCCCAGTAGGGGGATTGTGGGGTTGTATGGAAGGTTGATTTTTAGATCTTTTAGGAATTGCCACACTATTTTCTACAGAGGCAGTACTAGTTTACACTCCCATCATCAGTGTAGAAGTGTGCCCTTTTCCCCATATCTTCTCCAGCATCTGTTGTTTTTTGAGTTATTGATGATGGCCATCCTAACTGGAGTTAGGTGGTATCTCAGTGTAGTTTTAATTTGCATTTCTTTGATGACTAGTGAGACTGAGCATTTTTTCATGTATCTGTTGGCTGCTTGCATGTCTTCTTTTGAGAACTGTCTATTCATATCTTTTGCCCACTTTGTAATGAGGCTGTTTTTTTTTTCTTTTCTGCATGTTTGAGTTCCTTGTAGATCCTAGATGTTAGGCCTTTGTTAGACATACAGTTGACAAATATTTTTTCCCAGTCTGTGGACTGTCTCCCTGCTCTCTTGATGGTTTCTTTGACTTTGCAGAAGTTTGTCAGTTTGATGAGGTCCCACTTATCTATCATATTTTTTATGGCATGGGCACTTGGGGTTTTGATCAGGAATTGGTTGCCTGTTCCAATTTCCATAATGGTGTCTCCTGCATTTTCTAAGGTTCTCATAATTTGAGGTTTTACATTTAGGTCTTTGATCCATTTAGAGTTGATTTTTGTGTATCACCATACAAAAATGTAAGGATATTGTTTTAATCTTCTGCATGTGGTCAGCCAGTTTTCCAGCACCATTTACTGAATAGGTTCTCCTCTAAATACACAACTTTTTAATAAATAAGTTCTGTCTTTCTGAGGGTCCCCCAGTATATATAAAAGAAGTTTGAAATAAACTCTTAGTTTTTAAAATGTAGTTCACTCAGCATGATAAGATTTATTTTCTTCCTTTAAACTTTAAAATTTTCTTGAATCTCTTACAATGAGTATGTGTTTCCTTTAAAATAAGAAATAAAGCAAATGTTATTTTAGAATAAATTATACTTTTTTTTTATTGCTTCAGTTTGCAAAAGGCAGCATCAAAACATTATGCAATTGTAAAAGACACATATATGAGAGACTTTGCTTTGAGAATACTAATAATCTTACTTTAGAGAAATTGAAAAAAAAGAATAGTGTCTGCTGAGAGTTGAATTAGAATTCTGTACAATAGCCAAAACATCTAAAATTTTATGTGTGTATGTGAGTGTGTATGTATGTGTGCAATTAAGTAAAGAGGCAATAATTTCCTGAGAAAAATAATCTTATGAGACAAAGTTTTTACTTTTCCATTAGAAAAGAGTATAACATAATATAGGACATTTGTCCAGTATGTATGGTACAAAGAAATATTGTTGGAGAGGGTCAGGAGCAATGAGGATGAATGTCACCTTGGGTTATTGTACTGGTCCATTCTGTAAAGAAATACTTGAGACTGGGTAATTTATAAAGACAAAAGGTTTATTTGGCTCACAGTTCTGCAGACTATATGAGAAGCATGGCATCGCACCAGCATCTGCTTCTGGTGAGGCCCTTAGTAAGTTTTTACTCAAGGAGGAAGGTGAAG